TTGATCATGTTGATTACCCTCAATCAGGTTACGCACTGTATGGAGAGGATGAGCATAGGGGCATGAGAGGAGACAGTAAAGCCAGTAAATATGACTTACTGAGGAAAAGTTCCATCAGACAGCCTGTGTTTTCCGAGGCACGATCCACACCTGGTTTTCCTTGGTGTACTTCAGGTGCTACAACGACGACAACTAGTGTAACCTGGACAAAAGGGCTAGGTACCGGAACTGGCTCTCATATTGGGTACCATCAAAATCCAAATGTGAGTATGCAGGGTACACAAAGTAATGATGGAGGAGGTTCATATGGCAAAACTGTAATGAAACCAGCGACGTACGACGGAACCGGGTCTTGGATAGACTATAAAGCTCACTTCGAGGCGTGCAGTGATATAAACATGTGGAATGCACACCAGAAAAGTTTATATCTCGCAGCGTCATTGAGAGGACAAGCACAGACTGTCCTTGGTAATATGAAGGGAGGTACGGCTTGCACATATATGGATTTATGTGATGCATTAGAAGATAGATTTGCACCAGCCAATCAAACAGAGTTGTATCGGGCAATGCTGAGAGATAAACGACAGAAGGCGTCCGAAACGTTACCGGAGCTTGGTGAAAGTATAAGACGCTTGGCTCACCTAGCTTACCCGACAGCACCTAGAGAAGTTACCGAGATGATTGCCAAGGATCAGTTTGTTGATGCGTTGACAGATTTTGATATGCGCTTACGCATTCAACAATCACGCCCTAAGTCTTTAAATGATGCTATACGTTTGGCGGTTGAAATTGAGGCTTTCTGTAGAGCCGAACGCCAACGTCGGCATGATGTCGGTTTCGCAAGAGGAGCAACTAGAGATCAAGAAAATAACAGAGAGTCTCATAAAGACTCAAGTGTGAGAGATGAAATGAAGCAGCTACGTAATGAACTGCAGGAATCATTAAGAAATTTAGAAAGGAAAATTGCAGACATGGCTGTAACGAAAGAGACCCCGAGACCACCCAGTTCTAATCAGTTATTGAAACCAGATGCTTTTCCATACAAATGTCACAACTGTGGAAAGCGTGGTCATAGAATTAAAGACTGTTGGGTAAAGAATAAACAAATTAGTGAGAGGGTACAGAAATCAGAGTCAAACGATGAATCAAAAAGTCGCTCAGAGACTCAAACCCGGAACAAAAGCAGTAAAGTTGTATCTAGTACAACTGCGGTCAAGCAAGGACAATTCAATAAAGAATCTGGCTTATTCATCAAAGCTTTTGTGAATCATGTGCCATGCAATCTGTTGGTTGATACCGGGGCAACCTTGACAATTCTAGCAGATAGACTATACAATGAAATAGAGAACACAGGAGATTGTAGACTAGAACCTGTAAATCAAAGTATACTAGGTGCAGATGGAACACCCCTGAAGGTCCGAGGAAGAGGGAATTTTTCACTTCGACTTGGTGATAGTGGATTTGAATGCCATGCTGTTATAGCAAATATCAAAGCTGATGGCATTCTTGGTTTAGACTTCTTAAACTCAAGCAAATGTTTGGTGGACATTTCACAAACAAAACTATATGTTCATGGTGTGGAGCATAAGTTGCAGTTACAAGGGCACATTGGTTGTTTCCGTGTAAGTCTTAGAGAAACAATATCCATTCCCCCTAGAAGTGAGTTGGTATGTTCAGGCCACTTGTTAACACCCCCGGGGATCGTTATACCAGGACCGTTAATGATAGAACCGAACACTAAATTCCAGACATGTGGAAAGGCCTTGGTAGCCAGATGTCTGGTCAGCTCAAATGCGATTGTAGCTTTACGATTGATGAATACCACTGACCAGATTCAAACTGTATTTAAGAACACAGTAGTGGGTATGACATCGCCAGTATCTAATGTTTTTGAGCACCAAAGTGAAAGAGTTGTGAACTCTGTAGAACCTGGAAATAATGAAGAACACATCCCAGAACATTTAAAAGAATTATATGATGTTGCAGTCAAAGGTTTAACAAAGGCACAAGCAGAAGGCGTTAAAGGAACTTTACTTAGGTTCCAAAACATATTCTCAAAGTCTAAGAATGATTTTGGTAGAACTTCACTAGTAAAGCATAAAATAAACACTGAAGATGCTAGACCAACTAAACAACCCCCAAGAAGGTTACCACATCACGCTGCAGAGTTCGTAGATAAAGAAGTAGAGAACATGATTCAAAGAGGGATTGTGGAACCTTCGTCAAGCCCATGGGCAGCAGGAGTAGTCCTTGTAGAAAAGAAAGACGGCACCAAACGATTTTGTGTAGATTACCGTTCTCTCAATGGTAAAACGGTAAAAGATGCATACCCATTGCCCCGAATTGATGATTCGCTAGATCGCCTGAGAGGTGCTTCTTGGTTTTGCACTTTGGACCTACACTCAGGTTATTGGCAAGTGGAAATGGAAGAAGCTGATAAACCCAAAACCGCATTTGTGACAAGAAGCGGGTTGTTTCAATTCACAGTCATGCCCTTTGGACTGTGTAACAGTCCAGCCACTTTTGAAAGATTAATGGAGACTGTCCTCGCTGGCTTGAACTTCAAAATCTGTTTAGTATATATTGACGATATAATAGTTTTCGGCAGTACATTTGAGGAGACGCTTAAAAACCTGGAGCAGGTATTTGATAAATTACAAAATGCTGGACTGAAAGTAAAGGCTTCAAAATGCACTTTGTTCAAGAAGGAGGTCTTGTTTCTTGGATACAGAGTTTTAGGTGAAGGAGTGCACACTGATCCCCAGAAAGTAACCGCTGTTAAGAATTGGCCAATACCAATTGATGCCACTGAAGTTCGTTCATTTGTAGGGTTATGCAGCTACTATCGAAGATTTATTGCTGGATTCTCTTCCATAGCTAAGCCTCTGTTTAGGTTAACAGAGAAGGGAAGGGAGTTTAAATGGACCTCAGATTGCCAAGAAGCTTTTGAAAAGCTAAAGAAGTGCTTGGTTACTGCTCCTGTACTAGCACATCCGGACTTCTCCCTGCCTTTTATTCTTGATACTGATGCTAGTCAGCTAGGGCTAGGTGCAGTTCTTTCGCAGGATATTGAAGGTCAGATTAGAGTAATCGCTTATGCTAGTAGGACATTATCTAAGAGTGAACGCAAGTATTGTGTTACAAGAAAAGAGCTCCTAGCTGTTGTTTTTGCTTGCAAACATTTTCGTCATTATCTGTACAGCCATAAAGTAATTGTGCGAACAGACCATAGTGCTTTAAAGTGGCTTATGAATTTCAAAGATCCACAAGGCCAACTAGCAAGATGGATTGAGTTATTGGGCACATATGATCTTGAAATACGCCATAGACCTGGGGCAAAGCATGGAAATGCGGATAGTTTGAGTAGATATCCATGTCGACAATGTGGTTTTGAAGAAGTTGTACAGGACAAAGCATGCGATGTGGACGTTGTACATGCTGTAGATGCAAACCTAAGCCCTGCTAATTCAACATCTGTGGAAGACATCCAGAAACATGATTCAGATCTATTGAAGGTTAGGGAGTGGGTAGAAAAAGGCCAGCGACCGGATTATGCTGACATAAAAAGTGAAAGCAATTTGATTAAGTCCTTGTGGTCACAGTGGAAGTCTTTAGAAATTAAGGACAATTTACTATCTAGAAAATGGGTAGGCGATAGGAAAAGTTGTAATCAGGTTTTGATCCCTTTATCAGAAAGAAGAGAAATCCTTAAGCAGTGTCACGATGTACGCACATCAGGCCACCTTGGTGTTGCAAAAACTTTGGCAAGAATTCGAGAGAAATTCTATTGGCCTGGGTTACAGAGTAACGTTAGGACCTATGTAACAGGATGCCCTCAGTGTCGAAAAAGAAAGACTCGTTCTGCTGGGAAGACATATATGCAGTTGGATCAAACTGGATGCCCAATGGAGCGAGTAGCTACGGATATCATGAGGCCACTTCCTGAAACTGAAAATGGTAATAAGTATATCGTAGTAATCTCTGACTACTTCACTAAGTGGACAGAAGCTTATCCTCTAAAGAACATGGAAGCACAGACTGTGGCTGAAGTTTTAGTGGAACAATTCATAACTAGGTTCGGTGTGCCACAGATTATACACAGTGACCAAGGCAGGCAATATGAAAGCAAACTTTTCGGTGAGGTTTGCAATCTCCTTGGTATACGAAAGACCCGAACCACAGCGTACCATCCTAAGTCCGATGGAATGGTGGAAAGATTCAATAAAACATTGGCTACAATGCTTAGCGCTTACGTGTCTGACCACCAAACAGACTGGGACAGAAACTTGCCTTATGTCCTCATGGCATACCGGTCTTCTCTGCACGATAGTACAGGCTACAGTCCAAAAATGCTAATGCTAGGGCGGGAGGTGGCAACACCTCTAGATATAATGTACGAGTTACCCAGTGGGAAATAAAACCAACTTATGTGCATGATTATGTTTGGAAACTTCGTGAGATTTTGGAAGAGGCACATAGATACACACGCCAAATAAGTAAACAAGCAATGTTGAGGCAAAAGAAGTACCATGATCAGAATGTAGTTGGGAAAAGTTTCAGCGTTAATGATAAGGTTTTAGTATTCTTTCCACAAAGAAGCGTGGGAAGGTCAGCGAAACTTATGAGTTTCTGGTACGGTCCATATACAATAATAGAGAAACACACTGATGTTACATACAAAATCAGCAAAGATGGCACTGCAAATACCCTCATTGTACATGTAGATAGGTTGAGACCTTATGGGACTCAGGTTCTTAGTAATGAAGCGGATAGTACTGACAAAGAACAAATGGAAATGGAAAATGACTGTGATGAACCACAGTTAGATTTATTGGGGAACTCGGAACTAAATGAGTTAGAACTAGAATACTCTAGGCGAAGGCAATGCAAACGCCCTGCACGGCACTCAGATTATGAATTCAATTATGTATTATAAACTTAATATGTTTTGCTACTTCACACAAGTTACTTTATTTTTATTTAGATCCAGAAAGATCAAGATGCCGTTGACTAAGACTACACCCCGGAAACCGGGATTCTTGTGTTCAATATGCTTACTTCGCCTTCCCTCTCAGGACGAGTGGCGTAGCCATCTTTTGGCTTGTGGCATGGCTGACATCAACAAAAGGAAGTTTGAGTGTGAGATGTGTGAGCAGGCTTTCAGTAAGAAAACCGTGCTAACAAGACACATGAATAGAGTGCACTCCTGGAAAGAGTCAGAAGAAACAGTAGAGTCAGTGCCAGTGGAAAAATCTCCAAGAAAGTCTCCTGAACGTGCAGAGGAGGATTGGCAGGAAGATCCGGGAGAGCTTATTTTCGAGGAGACTGATTTAGAGGTTGGAAGGACACATAGAAAGAGGACTGCTCCATGTCTACCAGGAGTGAAAAGACGAGCTGTAGTTACCAGAGATTTATCTGAGGCTGAAACAGACGGTGAGCAAAGGAGCAACGCGACAGCTACTCAAAAGGTGTCCTCAGATATCCAGCACTGTCCTTGCTGTAAAGGGAACTGTGTAACAACTGACGTCGGGACACAGACAGAGCTAAAGGTGGATACAGCCAGGAACAAGAGTCACCAGAAAACAATACGTGTTCTAAAGAAGTATCAGAAGGATGGTGAATCAGTAGAAAGACTAGAAGAAGACATTTGGTTTGACTGAGCAATCTAAATGATATGTATATTGTGATTCTATGCAGTTACTGCTTGTTAACTTAATTTTGGTGCATGTGTTAAAAAGGGCCTTTTGTAATAACAGTTTCTTATAACGTGTTTCTTGAATACAAGATAGTTTCAGGATATGTTAAAAAAAAAAAAAAAAAAAAAAAAAAAAAAAAAAAAAAAAAAACCTTAGTTTTGAATCAAATCACATGCGAGACGCATGATATCAGAGGCGTGGGTAATGTAATGGTAAAGGGACATTTAAATAAACGCACTGAAGACCTCAAATAATGGAATGACCTGACTTCCCTTGGCATAGACTAGCCCAAGGGTATATAAAGCGAAGCTTTGGGGAAGTCAGGCATTCAGAAGTTAGCTGAAGAAGCCGACAGCTGAATCAGAAGCGGCAAAAGAGTAATTAAATAAAGAAGTAGTAAGGGTAAGAATAGAAGCCATAGAATAGAAGCACCAGTGGTAAGTAATCCTAGGGAATTGATGTTAAGTTCTGGGTGTAGGAAATCTGAAGAAGATTGATACACCCAGTTCTTTCCTATCAATAGGAACCTTGGAGGAGAAACACGGTGCAAGAAGCATACCCAGTCCCCGTCTCTAGATAAGAGGAAAAATTTTTAATACTGTGTGATTTACCCTCAGACAGAGCAGTCTTATCAATCATTGTAATTATAAACTCAGACAGAGTAAGAGGAAAACTTAGTATATATATATATCCCTTGTAAGAACCCAATCATACACGTTACACTATGGGTTAAAAAAAATTATTACTGAAACAAGTGCCTGTGGTAAACACTAACAGATAAAGTCGCTCCTCTACTTAGACCTATCATGTGTTTTAAAGAAAATCCACACCAAGACGAATCGTTAAATATTCAGGCGTAACCCGCTAATTTAAAGAAGTAGTCAATATTGCAGCATTATTTCTTTATGTTAATTTTTTTCAATGCATCATTGCTCAAAAGTATACCTAGATGAATTGATTTGATCAACGAAATAATTAATGCAGCAGTTCCATAGTTTAAAAAAAAATAATTGCAGCAAACGGATTATTGAAGGGGACTATTGTTGTCGAAGAAGTTATTGTACATTAACAATGAAACCAAAAGCAATACAGCCGAGACACATATAATGAAACTACTCCATGGTTCTTCAAATACAACGAGCACATTTCTCAAGCATTGCTTGAAAACATGGGCTTTCTAATTTAAAAATAAATCAATTTCCTTATTATCAGTTTTGGTATGAAGGCACTAAACACTCATCACTACACAAGAGAAATATGAAAAACAAAAGGAACCTTGGAAATTTTACTATTTTATGAATTAGAAAATGTTCTTTTCATCATGACTGACAACTACACATAACTCAGCAAATGTTCTAAAGTGATATCTCGGCCACGATATCTACATCTAATTACTCAGTGGACTAACCTTTCAGATAGAATCTAAATTAATATTATATAATGCACGCCAAAAATCACAAAAATGAGCAAAATATAGTTTTATAAACTAAGTTTCTTGTAGCTAAACTGTTACAGAGCAAGTGAAACTATAGTGTAATTTACAGATTATGATTGATAAACCAAGTTATCAGTCTATATTTTCATCCACTGAAATTTCTTCTTTCCTTTATCAATTTTTTGCTTCTAAACTATAAAAGCAAAGTATTCTAATTTTTGTTAGTTCCGGTGTGTTAAAGTCATCGTAACTCCAAATATGGAAGTAGCGCTAAAATAAACTTTTTTCATGCTTCTTCCATCTATGTAACTTAGCTTGACAGTTCGATATTTTACATACTTACACTCACTTTTATGTATAATTAAAAAAAGGGATATAAATGCGAGCGAAGTTTTCGTTGTTGTGTTATACGGGTTTTGAAGGTTTAATAAATTACAAAGAGGGTTATGTAATGTTGCAACTTCATATCCCATATAGAACAACAAAGAAAGTTTTATTGTTTCACAGGCAACAACAACAACAACAACAACAACAATAATAATAATAATATAAAATAATAATAATAATAATAATAATAATAATAAAATAATAATAAATTTCAAATTAAAAAAATAATTTAAAAAAAAATACATTCTTAGTTATTTAAAAAAAAGTGCAATTACCGTCTAAATTACGTAGTGTAGTTTACTTCTAATTATTTCAAAGCGCTTAGTGAAAAAAAAATCATCGCATTCTCTGCATGATAGAAACTTAAAAAGGATTTCTTTTTAATATAAATTAATAGTTAAGGTTACAAAATATTTGACTTAACAAGATTTAAATCATTATTTGAACATCTCATTCTTAAATGGTTAACTATTGTAAGCGGACAATAAATATGAATAAATGTTGATTCTCTTTTATGTACATGTAGGAACGTGACGAAGTAGGGGTTGTGAAGTACAAACTTGTTTTAATAAATATTCATTGACTTCGATTCAAGATTTTGTAAAATAAGCTGACCTTGAAAATCATGTGTGGGTGAGACTTGTACTTTAACATTAAAAAAAAAAAAAAAAAAAAAAAAATCAATTCATCAAGAATGCACCGGTTCAGTATACATTTCATTGATTCCATTACTCATTTTCATTTCCCACTTAAAATCTTAAGAAATTCAATATTGATATATCAGTACTGATGATTTGTTGCTAGACACCACCGTTATGGTTTTTTTTCCTTTTACATAAAACGCACTTGATTAGTTTTATTTGACGTTCAAAAGAAATCATTGATACTCTGTGTCTCTTGCGTAGAAGGCGTGTTCTCCTTATTCTAGGTGTGTTTGTTCAGGAGGCGGTTCCATAAATTTGCTCTTCAAATTTTTTAACGTAGAAGTGGCTGGCTGGTAACTAGTTTGACTTGACCTTGTTTGTGTTTACCTCTTACGTTGCGATGTGCTGAAGCAACAGTAAACTATTGATATGGAACGTTGTAAATCGTAAATGGCATAGTAAACATTCTTTTATGTATAAATGGCTAAAAATTAGGTTGCATGTGGTGTTCTGTAGTAGTTTTAATAGACATTTGTAAAGATCAATAATCAACAAGTATGTGAGATCAAACATTTTACTTTGAATTCAATTTGGTTATTTTTGTGTCTTGTGAATCAAAATAATTTCAAATAATCCACTAAAATGAAAGAAAAAGAACTTTTAATTTTTATTTTGAAAAATCTGAAGTATTTTACAGATTTATGAAAACTTAAAGTATAATCATCCATATATGGCATACGAATAGTTTAATCCAACTTTTATTAAACTTTTTGCAAGGTCACAAAGCTGTAAACGACTAAGGTGACATTTACACAGAGAACTTTAAGTGCATGATAGTACCTGTTCAAAAATGGGAGAAAATTGTATGTTAAGTTCTGTTGAGCAGGACTGAGTGATATATAAATGTTTATTAAATGTATGCCCAAACACTGATATTGACAAGTTAAAGAGGTCTTTCTTTTGCTTTATTTTCTCTTTTGTTTGTTTCTAAGGACGATTAATATGCATGCACATAATGCAATTGACAACACATTGTTGTGGAGACGCTATTGAATTTTGAACAATCTAAAACGTTTGCACTTAGAAATAATTGATAGCAGATTATGTCGATTCAAATGAAATAAAAAGTGCACATGAACCACTTTTGAGAAAACTAATGAAAAAATATTCAATAGCAGAATTACCACAGTTTAGAATTATTATGCATGTACGTAGTTTTCAAAAAGAACAAACATACGAAGAAAAGAAATTGCCATTGTACTCAACACAATATAGACTGATATCTATCACTTATTATAGTAACTAGTGGATTCATGAAAGAACCTGACGGTATCGCACCTTTTTTTTTGGGGGGGGGGGGTCTACAAAAAATCATTTATTTTTTGACCCAAAAAATTATTTTTAAAAATGTGATACAATCTTTCGTTTTCTATAAAAATCAGCTAAAAAGAACGATAAAAAAAGCCGTTTCCTTTCAAATTTAATTTTTTTGTAAGCTTTATACTTTGTTGTGGGAGTGAAAGCTTCCACTAAACCCCTCACGAGACACAAATCTAATGATGAACCTCGTAGAAACTTGAAATAATTGGCACTTTTCATGGATGACACCCTTCAATAAACCTCCTATAGGACTGCTAATTTGCTACATATGAATTAACGTATTAAAAAAAAAAACCTGTGTTTCTCTCGTATTAACTTCTTGTTTTGTATCTTTAGATGAATACTTCATCATATGTAAAAATTAAAAAAAATCTAGTTATTAAAATATTTATTCCTTCAAAATTTAAGAAAAATAGAAGAAATTCTGGTTTAACATTATTTATTTAGTTATATTATTTATTTCAGTTTGGTAGTATCACCTGATAGACCCCATGTGTATCATCTTTTTATGCAAAAGGAATTTTTTTTTTCATTTTGCCAATTTTGAGATGACTACTTCTATTTCAAATAGAAGTAGTCATCACAAAACTGGCAAAATATTTTTTTTTTTAATTCTTTTATATTTTATATGTAAAAACATAATGACATTGACCTGACCTTGCTCCTAAAGTAAAACGGTCATATTTAATCTGATAATTACATAATGATATTGTCTTACTGAATCTGTGAAAATTTCATTAATTTTTTTAAAACAACTGTACAATAAAGTTGAGAAGAACCCCTCCTTAAAATTGAACACTCCCAGAAAGTTATACACACTTGTAAGACTACCCGCTACAGATTAAGGCTCCTAAGGGACTGTATACTCTAAAGGAACGTTCATAAAGGATACTCCTTTTTAAAGGAATACACCTCAAGGATACAATGTCTTAAACTCTTTTCTATTTTAAAAATAATAACAGAGAGGTTTAGAACTTAATGATTTTCTTTTCCCTACCTCTTAAACCCATAAAAACATATTTCAGCTCTCGTGGAAAGTAAAATTCTATACTGGCATCGATCGGATAAATACGCGAGGTAAAAAGTCAAAGCAAGGTTTATAAGACGATGTGGGACGAGCTATAAAGTATCAATATATTTATTCAGTATTGGGCCTATTGAAAATGGATGAAACCTTTGAAAATCTCTTTACTCTTGGGTATCTAGCATGCAACTTTTTTGCATGAAGTTATGCATCTCTTTTATTAAGAGAAATGAGTCAAAATTCATGACAACTTAGTGAAGAGTTCCGACTCTTTAAATAAAATTACATCTAAACACTGACGGTACATTTTGTCGCCCTGTACGTGCATGTATTGTCGACGGCGAAAATATGTTCCTTTATCATATACTTAGTAGTAAATACACCGATTCTGCACTCTGCGATACGGGTGACGTCACAATACCCCATATCAGGGATCAGTCCAAAAATATCACGTATAGGACCGGTGTGCAAAAATCCATATCAAACCGGAAGTAACGTTTGTATAAAGTTTAAAAGTCAAATTACTTTATTTTATTTAAATATACATGTAAAATAATCTTTTGATAACATTTGTGGACTTATTTTTTTTTTCAAATACCTAAAATTGGCTCTATTAGAATTCAAAGAAATAGTTCATAAAGATGCACGAAACATTCTTCAATGACTTTATGTGAACTCGCATATTAAGTATTTTAAATATATGATAAATAGAATACTACATACTGAAATCCGTATCATATGTCATATCAGCCCTCGAGCCTTCGGCCCTCCGGCTAATATGGGGTCACTCGGGCTGATATGACATATGATATGGATTTTAATATGTAATATTCTCTATATGTTCACTGCACATATTGTCGATTGATACCAGCGACAGTATGTGCCGAGGGGAGCCTTTTTTTCTCCTTTCAGAATGGGTGACAAAATATACCTTACATATCGGAACAGTTGTCGTTGACAATATTTGCTGCGAACAATTTGCACATTTGGTGACAGAGAAGCTTTGGAGAAAGTTTTATTGCAATCGGACAGATAGATATTCTTGGTATTTATTTCATCATTCTCCTCGTTCACATTGCAACTTGTGTTTTAGATATACAATTATTGCTGTTTTTGAGGTCAATGCAATGATATGGCCACCCGAAGAGTACAATATTCACCGAGTCCGAAGGGCGAGGTGAATATTGTACTTAGAAGGTGGTTAATCATCGTATTGATTGAAAAAAAAATCCATAATTGTTTTATTATATAAATCATTGATTAAATGATACGAACTCGTTAAGCAGTTCACGCCATCTTACTTTTTTTTTTCAACATTTGCTGAAGTCCTAGCGAAAGGCAATGAGAGAAGCGGTGTTAAAATAAACAAAAGTTGTGTTAATTTGGAAGTTTTAAAATCTATTTTAGGTGTGATGTAAAAAAAGTAATTAAATTTCAGGCACGTAGGATCGATTTTGACAGGGGAGATTATAAGGAAAAAATTTACGAATTAACTTGAAAAAAATCTTTCATTTGTCCCCCAACCTCCCAACCCCCAAAAGAAGAGAATTCTCTGAACTCCAAATTTTATTTGGGATATGTATTAGGGTCCATTAACTGGGGGAAGGAGACGCAACCAGCCTTTCAAGGAACATTTTAATACTAAATTTAAAGTAAAATCCTACATTCAGAAAAAAGAGGCAACCCCCCGTACCCTCCCAGCCCCCGATTCCATGTACCTGAATGTTGGAAGTGGGTGCAAGTTAAATAACTTTCCAGAACTGTTTGTTTCAATTTGGAACTCCCCAATCTATTTTTAGTCCAATGTAAAACAAACCAGAAGTCTCTGATGAGACTGTAATTCTACTGGTTTGTATTTTTTATAACAAAGGAAGAGAAAACACTTGCACTTAAAACTATGCAACAGCAATAAATAGATCAATGGTCCTTGGTTAAGTTGCTTTGTGGTAAGATTTATTGCAATCAGATTAAAACTGTAAGAGGAGTAACCTTTTGAAAGAATTTCACGAAAATTTCTATTTTTAGAAAGCATGGCAAGACCGTTCATCAAAATAAAAAAAATATTATAAAATAATGTATCTAAGTGTAGTCTACTTGTGTACAAAGTTATAAAAATCCCATGCAAGTTATACTGAAATCAGACCAAAACTGTAGAAGAAGTAGCATTTTAAAAGAATTTCACAGAAATTTCTATTTTTAGTAACCATGGCAGCACCATTATTCCAAATCAAAAACCGATTCACTAAATTATGTATCTTAGTGTAGTCTACTTGTGTGCCAAGCTATACTGAAATCAGACAAAAGAGTAGTGTTTTAAACGAATTTCACAGATATTTCCATTTTTAGTGACAATGGCAACATTGTTCATCAAAATCAAAAAACCGATGCACTAAATTATAAATCTTAGTGTAGTCTACTTGTGTGGTGTGCCAGGTTATATTGAAATTAGACCAAAACTGTAGGAGGAATAGCGATATAAAGGAATTTCACAGAAATTTCTATTTTAAGTAACCATGGCAACAAGTTCATCGAAATCAAAGACCGATGCACTATAGCCAATTCATGTATCTTAGTGTAGTCTACTTGTGTGCCAAGTTATATTAAATTCAGACCAAAACTGTAGGAAGAGTAGTGTTTCAAAGGAATTTCACAGAAATTACTATATTTAGTAACCAAGGCAACATCGTTCATCAAAATCAAAAACCGATGTACAGAATTATGTATTTTAGTATAGTCTACTTTTGTGCTAAGTTATATTGAAATCAGACCAAAACTGTAGGGGGAGTAGCGTTTTGAAAAATTGTTCACAGACAGACAGACAGACGGACGACAGACACCTTACTATCGCATAAGTTCTTCTGGTCTCTGACCAGTAAAGCTAAAAAATAAATCCCTATGTTCACCTGGAAGGTCACGTGCAGGTGAATATAACGTAATATTTTTTCTACAATGTTGAATATCTGCCAATCAGAGAGATAGGAATAATTCAGTCATATGATAAAGCATTTTATTGCAGGCGCTTCCTTGGAGTAAAGAGATGACAACTGGGCGTTAAAATGTTGATCTGTATTTCAAAGAAGATGCAATTTGTTTATTATCGTGTATACTTACGTGTTTTGAATACAGAGAAACTCAAAGCATGCTTCATGTGAATGCCTAAATGTGATTTACACAACAATAACATTCACAAAACTAAAATTTTACCAGTAACAATAGTTGTGGGACGACAATATGTGCAGTGAGGTTACGCACATACTGTGGCCGCCGACGATAATATGTTCAAGATTTTTTAAAAGTTGGCGACCAATTTCTGCTACTGCATGCAAAGGATATATCACACGAACTGACCCTCCTCCGTTACTCTGAAGTTTCATTAAAATTTTCCAAGCAATGTGCGAGAATTCTTGTGAAGAAATTTAGATGGAACAATAACACAGTCTCCCTGTCTTCGTTCAGGTTGACATAGTTATGAAAGTTATGTTTTGATTACAAGTTGCTGCAGAACAATATTGAATTTGCATGTGGCACACACGTAGCTCGAGTTTAGAGTTGAAAGCTCTTAATAACCAGGTGAGCGTTAAGACCAATAAGCCTCTTCTTCTTGTGAATATTGTAAATATAAAGCAGCAAGCGTTTCCTACACCTATATGGAACAAATTGTTTTGGATTGTAATGTTAACGACAGAGAGAATCTTTAAATTTAGCTTTTTGAAAACATTTGTATTGTAAAATATGATGAAGTACACTTGAAGTCTGAAATCCGTACAGACATTATGCCCTAATTTTGGATAGACTCTCAAAATTGTGTTATAATACAGCAAATTTTCCAAACAACATTTGATTCTCTTAATGTTCAGGTTTAACACGCATGTTAAAATATATAGAAACTATATTTTAAATCATGTTGAAGATTTTTTTCTCGTGAATAGCGAGAAAAATGCATTGACTTTGATGTTAATAAAATATGCAAAGTAGACCAGGACATGGATTCAAAAGGCGTTAAACCCCCCTAACCACATTTCGTTATTCGATTGTGTCTTTAAGCAGCGTATCTTACCAAACAGGCATTCGAAGAGACAAACACACAACATCTGTTGATAGCAACCATAATTTATATAAATCCCTTCGCCTCGGCATAAATATCGACCAAGTCCATGTTGGAGAGACTGATCAGATAGTTAACGAATCACATTACATAAAATATCCAACAAAAAATGGGACTTCTTGACGAATTTAAATCAGCTAGCATATTTGGAAAAATAGTTTTTATTTTGCTTTTTCTTGCTAGTTTTTGCATTATAATTGCGTTCACTTGTACGGGATGGGGGGAAAGCAACGAGACGTATGGAGGCGGCTACAAAGTGCACTGGGGGTTGTGGCGTATATGTAGCAATAAGGAATTTACAAGTTCTTCTGTGTGTACTGATGTTAGTGGATGGGCAAATGGTAAGTTTACTATATCATGCAATTTAAAAAAAATTGATTTATTTATTTTTTCTATTAAAATGATATTGAATTAGAAATAAATGAATGAATAAATAAGTAAAAACAAATTTCGACTTTCTTACTGTTCAAGGATGGAAATGAGAAACATTTAATAATACTTTAATTATACAAGTTTCAAAGGAAAAAAAATCTATTGAAATACCAGATTACCCCCTCCCCCCCCTCCCCTAAAAAAGAAGACATTTGATTTAACAAATAGAAAGAGCTGTGTATAATACATAACAATATATATCATTTACGGAATGAATGGATCCAACCCTTACAATTTATAAATAAGTATCTACTTTCAACTTAGTAGCTCGGGGGATTTATGACAAACATGCAGTTATTTGCTCAACTGTTTACACTGTCCTGAGTACACAGACATTTTAAAATACATTGCATGTTCCTCCGTACTTTATTCATCTGTTTTCGGTAGATTTTAAGAAATGTGTTGATTTTCACGCCGACATTAACCATGCACATCAGTGAAACAGTGTAAGCCTTAATTGCTTTGCAAATCAATAAAACAAAATTACCATTTTTTATGTAGAACAAGACTCAATCCGAAGATATCAATAATGTAATTTGTGAAGTAAACTTGCAAATCGATTGGATTATTTTATGACATTGCAGAAAAAAAAAATCGTTCATATTTTACTTAGCCATGAATTAACATGAGAAAATTGATGTTAATTTTTTTTTTTAATATTTTTTAAAATAAAAAAGTAAATATCACTCAATTTTATTTTTCAGACTGGTATGCGTTTACTCAGGCTGCGAGCTGCTTTGGTTTCTTTGGTATACTAGTAGCCTTCTTTTTAGTCATTCTCTATCTGTTTGTTGGCAAATGTAAGGGCAATGGAGAAGTAGCAACGGGGGCGGCCATCTTGTGCCTAGTGACAGGTAAGCCTAATCTTCTATATAACTTTGTTCTTATAGGGTTTTCGTAAACCCCAGAGAGTAGTCTGTTGTTGTCATCCCTAGCATCGACTATCGATACCATATAAAGGATCCTTTCGTGCCACTAACATTTACTGCAACAAACAAGTTCATTAAACCTCATAGTTTTACAGAAAATTAAAAAAAACAGGCATTGATAATTTGATAGAATGGTTCATAGTGATTTTTATATAAAGTGACTTTAGATCTATCATTGGAACATAGGTAAGATGTTTACTCTTTTAAATTGTCCCATCGAAGAGACTTCTAAAGCGATGGCTTTAAAAAGATGAATTATGAGATTACTGTTATCTTGAGTCCATAGTGATGCCATTCATCTTAAACGTGAATTTAAATATTCAATTTAAGCACTTTGTAGACCTCATTTTATAGGTCAGATGTATTGATAATATGTTAATATTTATAAAGGGTAAAACTCTTTGTGTGCCCCTTATGCTCTCAGATAGATAGCATAAACATATGATGTGAAAATTGTATATTAAATTTTAGTTTCTATATGACATAATAATATGTTGGGATGGGATTCAATACTAGCACATTCCTCATCCTTCTTGGATTGAATGGAAGGCTGAATGGGTGGAATGGAATTGTTCAATAATGGCATATTTCACGTATTGTTTAATTTCTCGTCAGATCGATCTCTTAATAGATAAATAAATAATTTTATCTCTATCATGTATATAAAAAACATGTAAATACATGTCAAATACATGGCTGTCGCCAGATGTCTGGAAAAGGGGTGTGCGAACGAGGGTGGGAGGGGTGCTCTCTCCTTTCAACCAAAAATTTTTGAATAACTGGTTACCATTTTGTTGTGATCTGGTGCATTCTTTAATTTAATTTTTCAGATATTAAAGAAACAGAGTCTAGCACTGTAGCAGCATTACTTTACATATGAATAATGAATTTGTTTTTAAAATGACATTTCTTGTGTTCTTTTTAAAAGGGGATGCGATTGCACACAACCCGCTCCCGTTCCGACGGCGACCGACAGGAAGACTTACTTGTCAAATTGCCGTTTACTTATTCAAGTCATTTGCATATTTTGCTCATTTCCCCCAATGTTAACAAACTCAAGTCATAATATGTTCCTCCTCCCCCTCCTTTTTACATAAGGAGGTTGTTCAATTTTATCAAATTCATTGGCGAGCGAAATCAGTAACGGACTTGTTTTGAAAATACAATTCTTATCTAATGTGTTATTATTTTTTTGCCCAATTTGGATCGCATTTAGCGACAGAAACATCATTTCGCTATCATTGAGAGAAATATCATAGTTCTGATTGTAGTAAATCATGCATTCTAAGTTTTAAGATTTAATTCTCAGGAACGATATAAAACATTTTGCCTTTTTTTCCTTTTACGATGATAATGTATCAGATATCATAATATGAGGGAAGACGTTGAGGATCTTAAATTTTTATCATCTAATTGGAATTTTTAAAGACCAAAACCGTTTTCTTTTCTTTTTCATTCAGTAATATATTTTTGATACAATATTAAGTCACACACGTAAAACTATAATATAAATATCAACATATATTCTTTTAAAGGCATTTTTCATGCCATCCACATTACATGACCTGCCAATTTAAGCTGAAAACTTACAAATTATTTTGACTATTATTACAAAACATTTTGACATTGTTTTGTTTGCTTTTAATGTATTACAAAAATCAATTTTAATTTTCTTTAAACAAATTTAAGGGCAAAAATGTGTACTTTACCAAAATTTCTTATCCCCCTCCCCCCCCCCCCCAAAAAAAAAACAGACCTTGAACTGACCTTGATAAAAATTCAAGGTCTGATTTTTTGAATGTAGACAAATGTCATGAACTAGAACTCAGATAATTTTAAGAATTGATTATAAAAATAGTTGAATTAGAGTTCATTCTTAATAATATATTTTTAAAAACTTTTGTTTTACAGGGGTTATCCTACTAGTGGGCTGTATTGTTTTCGGAGCAGAATTTGACGACGTCTATTATGATCGCCAGGTCGGGGCCAACTCAAGGTGGGAATTTTGGTTGTCCTACTCTTTTGGTCTGGCCATCGTCGCATCTCTACTAGAAATCGTCTCCGGAGTTCTTTTGATTTTGGAATGTAAAAAAGGAGGTGGCACATCCGCTTCCGGTTAGATAGACTGTTGACATTTATTTAATGTAGATTTATGAGACTTGTTAGAACGACGACTTTCCAGTTGTAGGAAAAATTTTTGCTTGCTGAAAAAATTTGCCTTATACATTGTATGATAATTATATTTTACACAGTATTTTTCCTTAATTTATTTTTGTATGTACTTTTTTAATTCATTGTATTTGTCAAGATGCATTGAACTTTTTGAAACATTATTAAAAAATTCTTCTATTTTTTGGAAACAGTGATTGAAGACGTCTTTATTAACTGAATTTAAATCTTAAAAATTTAAGATAGAGGGGGTGGGGTGGAGGAGATGGGTGGTGGTGGTGACCCATACCCACTCATGAAAAAAAAAAAAAGAGGAGGTTGTTGCGACACAGTCTTATCTCATAACAAACCGCTTTCTTTATATATACCGGTATATATATATATATATATATATATATATATATATATATATATATATATATATATATATATATATATATATATATATAACTTTGTCAGCTTACAATGTAGGAGGGGTAACACTGAAAATTCAAAAAGAAAAAAAGAAAGGGGATCCGTATTGAATATTAAAAAAAAAAACCCTTGAAGTACGTCGTTACTTTCCTCCAAAGCTTATATGGTAGCTGTTGTAGGAGTTTTAATGCCAAGCTAATGATCAGCCCTTGGTAGAATGCCAAAATTCTTAAATAAAAGTACATTGAAAGTAATTGATCCCTCATTTTATTTAGGGTTTGAGTGTTATTTTCAACAGAATGTTGTTCTTTAGTTAACATTATATGAGTCTCTAAGAACTTCTGCTTTCTGTAAGAAATTAACTTATATCACTTATAATTCATTGACATTTTCTGTTAGCTCTTTTAAATAATACTTGGCCAATACCGATAGTACTTTTTAAATATACAAATCATAAAGTGGGCATTTCAAACGGTGGTGATCATCTTCAAAGTGTTAAAAGTTATATAATATTCCTTCCGTTGTAGAAAATGTTAAAACCAAATAACAAGAGAGATAACTACGATCTATCTATGCTATATAATGTTAAGTCATTCATTTTAAGTCAGAGAAGGTCTCCATTGTATCATGTTATTAACTAGTTTTTCTTATTTTTTCATTTATAAATTTCGAGTTATATAAAGTTTTATATAAAGCCCCCTTTATCTTTCCAGAGGAAAAATGTACACTATTTGGGCTTGTATATACTCCCATCAATCTCAATACTGCACCCCATTAAAAAATCTTGACATTTTCGATAGAAGAGAATTCTTTGATCTATACATAACATAAAAAAGTGTGCGCAACAGGAAATTGGATGAAATTTATGGAGGTCAACACATGTACCAGTGTCTGATAAATACTGCCTCAGTAATACTGTCAAACTCTGACTACACCTCTAGAATTTATAGAGGTCCGTGTTTTATGCAATGTTCACAGATTCTTATTGACGTATATATGTTTTTTTTGAGATCGATCATTGTAAAATTGTTATTTTCACCAATTTCATCGTAATAACGAGAAAACTATCCATTTGTTATAACGAGATACATGTACAATGGTTTGCATTGAAATGGTAAAACTTTCCGTTTGAATGGAATTCTTTTGAACGTTGGTTGTTACAGTACATAATGACACACCCATTTCTTCACAAAAGAGAAAATTTTCTCGCATGCTTCATTCGAATACCTGTAGAAAAGTATGGAACGCCATAGCTGCCTGAAGGTCATTTTCATTTTATATGAGGTGGTATAACCTTTATGTGAAGTGGTTAAGTCATTATATATAGTGGTAAAATCATTATATTCAATGAAAACTTTATTATATGCAGTGGTTTTATCTTTATATACAGTGATAAAATCATTATATTCATTGATGACTTTATTATATGCAGTGGTTTTATCATTATATTCAGTGGCAATGTCATTATATGTAGTGGTTAAATAATGTAATGAAGTGATAGTACCGTTACATTATGCTGTAAAATCATTATATGCAGTGGTTTTTCCATTATATACATTACTGATATCTTTCTGTGATGTGATAAATTCAATATATACAGTACAAACATAATTTGTGTGATATAGCAATCATTACATTTTATGAAACCCGCTGCATGTGGAGTGCCAAGTTAATTTCATTCAGTGCGACACCTTTACATGAAGTGAAAAATCTATTATGTGCAGTACTAAGATCATTATATTATATAGTAAAATTATTATATATATTCCTAAAATCCTACTTTGCAGTGGTAACATCTTTATATGAGGTGGTTAATTAATTATATGATGTTGTTAATTTGTTATATGATGTGCTCAAATCTTTATATGCATTAGACGTTTCATGTTATGCAGTGGTAACTTCTTTATCATCATCTAAACTGGTCCTTTTATGCGCGGAGTTCCAGTTTAAAGAGTGTTTGAAAATAGGAAACCCGGGCCGTGGCAAATTAAAAGCCGGGACTATTCGAGATTTTTCTGATTTCTGATTCTATTATACAGCTTCCTGATTTTATCAACTGTGCTGAAATTTTCAGACTCATTTTTATAGGTTAATGTGTATTCGCTGTAAAAATTGCATTTAATTTTAAAATACTTAGTAATTTAGATTTTCTTGGCGATTGTTGATTTCCAAGTTCAGTGGTGGATCCAGGAATCTTGAAAAGGGGGGCCCGACAAGTTTTTGGTCGGGGTAGGTAGCCCACAGCCAAACCAAAAAACAATTGATTTATGAAATCTTATGTATATTTTGGACACAAGGGGGGGGGGGGCGGCGGGCCCCATAGGCCCTCTCTGAATCCGCCAGTGAGGTTGGTAAATCGGGTAGGCAATCAAGTAGACATTTTACGTGTTTTGTTTGTTTGTTTGTTGTTCTTTGTTATCCCCCCCTTTTTTTTTTTACAAAGGTAGACATAATATAGGCATTGAAAATTCGGGCGTAGGTCTAGCCCCCCCCCCCCTCCCCACTTTTTACAGGCACGATTCATTGTAGTGAAAGAAGGGTAATTGGTAGTGTTTAAAAGAATTTGGTACTGAAAGATGTTCGATCACCCCCCCCCCCCAATCCACCCACCCACCCACCCACCCACACCCCCGAAATAGGATTTTCGGGTTTGGAGAAAGAACAATTCCCCCCCCCCCTTTTTTTTTTGTTTTTTTTTCAGGTTTGATTTTTTTTTTCTATTTCAATTAGCCACCCCACTATCAATTTCCTTCCGACGCCAATGGTTCATTAAAATCGGATTTGATCTCCAGGAAGTCAAACATAAAAAATCCGAAATACTTATTCATTATCTACATGCCATTTGATAAAATATAAATTAATTAAAGAATTATCACATATACATGTAATTATAGGACTATTAATGCAAAGCCTTGTGTCAAACTTTAATCACGCGTAAGTTGCTTGGATTAAGGATATCCGATCCTCAGCCTTGAAGGATAACTCTTAATTTTATCATTTTATTCAAAAAGGCTAAAATGATTTTAATTTGGTTGTTTGTTTGCTGTTTAACGTCCCTCTCGAGAATTTTTCACTCATATGGAGACGCCACAATTTGCCAGTGGAGAGCTGCAAATTTTGTCCTATACTCGACACTAACGGCCATTGAGCAGTGAGGGATTTTTTTCGTGCCAACACCTACTGTGGAACGGGACCTCGGTTTATGGCTTTATGCGGTCTCTTACGAAGGACCGGTCTCAACGTCCCACTGTCGGATTGGAACCCGTGACGTAAGGATTGACTCCTTATTCCGCGTCTCTTAGAGCAGACACTCTAATCACCGTGCCACGTTGGCGACGGCAAAGATGAAACTTGAAAATGAAATGTTTTCATGCAGCAATTTTTATTTTAAGCATTTCAATGTGATTTAACTCATTTAAGGTTTTCTGAAGTCTTAGAAACAGTCTTATAAATAGTTGATATTAGTAATTTAACACCCTCCACCCCCCCCCCCCCGAAAAAAGTATTAAACAAATTACATATTTAACGTAATCCAGTTTCTTTCCATCTACTAACAAATAGATACATGTACCAGTGCACATTTGCATATTATGAAATTAGAAATGATTTATGGTGTTTTGCACCAGGTTCTTCCCGGATGATCGGATCTGGTTTAATAATCCTTTTTTTAATGAAAATATGTATTTTGCATAAAAATAGCATTTTCAAATAAAGAAATAACTATCAAAAAGAAAAAGTTTTTTAAGTTAAAATACAGTGTTTAACATCGGAATAATTTTTAAGTTTATTAGATTTTTATCAAATATGTCAAAACACACACACACACACACACACACACACACACACACACAAAATATCGCCAACCCAGTCTACCCATTTTACCAACATGGAAATCAACAATCGTCAAAAAAAAAATCTAAAATACTAAGTATTTATAGCACAATGGATAAAATATTAAATCAGAAAATTGAAACTGCCTACCAATTTTACTTGAAACCAAAAATCGTAAAGAGAATCTAAAATACCAAGTATTTAAATACAATTTTTACAGCGAAAACACATTAGCCTAAAAAAAGAGTCTGAAAATTTTAAATCAGAAATTTGAAAAATCTCGAATAGTCCCGGCTTTTAATTTGCCACGGCCCGGGTTTCCTATTTTCAAACACTCTTTAAACTGGAACTCCGCGCATTTTTTTAAATAAAAGGACCAGTTTAGATGATGATAAAGAAGTTACCACTGCATAACATGAAACGTCTAATGCATATAAAGATTTGAGCACATCATATAACAAATTAACAACATCATATAATTAATTAACCACCTCATATAAAGATGTTACCACTGCAAAGTAGGATTTTAGGAATATATATAATAATTTTACTATATAATATAATGATCTTAGTACTGCACATAATAGATTTTTCACTTCATGTAAAGGTGTCGCACTGAATGAAATTAACTTGGCACTCCACATGCAGCGGGTTTCATAAAATGTAATGATTGCTATATCACACAAATTATGTTTGTACTGTATATATTGAATTTATCACATCACAGAAAGATATCAGTAATGTATATAATGGAAAAACCACTGCATACAGTGCAGGAAACTAATTTTGTTACAGCATCGATGCTGATTTGAATGCTTCCTTTGCTTGCTGATTTGAATGCTTCCTTTGCTTGCTGATTTAATGCTAGTTATCCTTATCCTGATGCTGTTTTA